TATCAAGAATACAATGAACTCACAAGAAATAGTACTGCTTAACCATCTCTGTTATAGATGGATCCTTTGCTTGGCAACTAAAGAAGCCATCAGGATATAACCTTATTTTCGAAACGCCTGATGTATACCAGCAGTCATAAGTTTCATTCACCTGGAAAACAAAAAGAAAAACGAGAATGTAAAATTTGTGCAAGGAACAGAAAATTAAATGGCTAAACAAAGTAGCTGTGCAAGATTTACCTACCTTAAGAACTTATTTAGATTGACATGGAAGATTCAATATTCATCATCCTAAGTCATAACCAGCTACAATGATCTATAGTTAGACTAGAATCTTTTCAGAAGCTACCTTAAATTGATTCTTTGTCAGCCATGCAGCACCGAAATTGGGTCTGCAATTGAAAGGAAGCGCCTCATGCGGTGCCTCTGCAAATGCCAGTCGCATTTGACCTAACAAATGGTCTCTGTATTCCACCTGAAATTGTTAATACTGAAATTAAACTTAAATCAAAGAAAAAATGCTTTGTCAATTTCTCCCCATGGTCATACCATCAAAGTCAGCATGGTTTCATAAAGAAGATAGCAATAAAACATCTACATGGCCAGAAACTACTTACATAGTTACAGACTTCTGTTTTCACTACCATTGTATAGAATAGTATGCAGGAAAAATGTCATTTGGCAGTGTTTTGATGATGAAATTCCAAGCCATAAAAAGTTTGTAAAGCTTGCTGCCACTAGACAGAGAATAGCGTGCGCAACAAGCTCCAGGCATTTTTATTTTACAGGTATTCTTGTAATTTGGAATTTCCTTAATCCACAATATAAAGGGAAAACACCAATTGTAAGACATTCATCATGATGAAAAATTAAAGTAAACTCATGGATATAGCCATGTAGGCCCATTTTTGAACAATGTAAAATTATGCATTCTCTTTTCTCACTTTTTGATAAATTTCTGTGCGTGCTATTTGAGTATATTCACCACAAACCTTGATCCCAATTCAATGAACTAGGATGTAGAAAATCTAAGTGCCAAATATTTTCAGCCATGTTAGAGAAATCCACCTAAAGAATTGGATTTTGAAAACGCCGATGATAAGGATCAATTAGGGTCTTCTGGACAAAGTCACGCACAAGGGTTTTTGTGATAGATGGTGGTGTTGCCTTGGAGATTACCTCTCTTTGTATCTTATAAAACAATTACAACATGGAGCCTATATCTTGTTTTGTGACCAGAAGGGGTGAAACAACAGAACCTTCTCTCCCCTTTCCTTTTCACAATAAGGGTGGATGTTCTTAGCTGCATGCTACCTCAAGGTTGTGAGAGACGTTTTGTGTCAGGTTCCATACACATATACTCAGTCAAGGATTAGGGTTTAGAATTAGAAACTCTAGGGTTCTGAGATGGGAAGAAGAAGAAGAAGAAAAAGAAGAAGCAGAGAAGAGAGAGAGAGAGAGAGAGAGAGAGAATAATTTGAAAATTGTTAATGATTGTATTCAGAAATAAGCATATATTTTCCCATACATCATTCTGGTTTTCATTCCCCTTTTATACCGATTTCCAACATAGATAAGGACAAAAGAGAACAAGACAAAAAAGCAACAACAAAAATGCAAAAGAAAAGGCAAGGCCTGTATATAAAAGTACTTATAATTCAACTAAGATATTTAATTAGATTCCCTAAGTCCTCGTTAGAATACAAAGGATGACTCCTTAACAAAAAACATAGAGTTTGGAACCAGAAATTCTTAAACTTACCAAAATTCTATTTTGTCGACTCAAAAGTTCGTCTATTCCCCTCCTTCCAAATAGCCCAAAAGGTAGCCAAAGATTAAGTTTTAGTCTCTTATCACCTTAGTTACCCATGACCTTACTGAACCTGCAACCATCCAACTCATACCCAAAAAGCCATAAGCTAATGTACAGATCTGATAGACATATGGCCACCATAGAAGAATGTGCTTGCATGACTCAGCGGCTCTCATGCACAAATAACACTCATTCACTGAAATTTTTCCCTTCCTAATCAACTTGTCCACAGTCAAAGTACTTTCCCTCATTGCTTCCCAAGCAAAAGAAAGCCACCCTTACAGTTACTTTTACCTTCCAGATAAGTTGGCCAAGAAATCTTGCTGGATACTCCACCCCCCTATTAGGATGCCAATAAAATGACTTCATATAAAAGACACCTGAAGAGCTCAGCTTCCAAATCGGTTCATCACTTTATACTTGTGTCACATTCATCTGAGGGAGAAACCTCAAGAGTCTCATATAATCATGGCTCTCCCCGTCCTTAAAATTTCTAAACCACCTTAACCAAGCAACCTCATTCCCATCAAGGCCAAGGATGGAACACAGACATCCTTGATGCGAGCTAAGGAAAAGATACTAAGAAATTGATGCATCAAAACAACCCCCCCACAAACCACTCGTCCCTACAGAAGCTCACTCTATCGCCAGAACCCACTTTCCATCTAATAGACTCCTAAAAGCCCCTTTCTCCATGTAAAATTCTCTTCCATTACCCAACCCCATTTCAAACCCCTTAAAAGATTTGCTAATTAACCAATAATTAGCTGTAGCTTTGATACAGTTAGCTTTGTAACCGCTCATTTGGTTATTGTTAGGGGACAATGGTGCCTCTGGTACACCTCAAGTCACTTCACCGGCAATTTAGGTGTGGCCTGCGGCATGCCTAGTGCAAGGTTTGAGTCCCATCCTTACAATCTGGTGAAAGCTTTAGGTGTTAATGCAAATAAATACTGAAGTCTCTCCCTTACAGTTCACAGATAATACAATCCTTTTCTCCTAGATAGTTATTGAGGGGCTCAATATTTTTTTCTCTCTTTTACGGGTTTCGAGAGTATACTGGGACTTCATATCAATCTTACCAAGAGACGATTCACTAGAACTAATGTTGGGGAAGACAACATTTCTAGGCTTGCCGAGATTGATGGGTTGTGATTTTTTATCTGTCTGATTATCTACTTCAGTATCCCACTTGCAGAAACCCTCGGGTTAAGTATTTCTATAACCCCATTGTTGGTAGGATTGCTAACAGGCTTAAGTGTTGAAAGGGTGATTTTTTCCTCTTAGTTGTAGGGATGTTATTATCAAGGCTTCTTTATCCAATTTCCCTTATATTATCTCTCTCTGTGTAGGATCCCTAAAGGGGGTACAGAGTTCTTATGGTTTGGCATGTGAGAGACTTCCAGAGGTAAGCTGGTCTGGTGGGGAGTGCATTGTCTTTCAAGAGGATGGCAGTGTAGGCATCGAGAATTTCTCATCTTAGAACTTATCTTGTTAAGTAAATGACTTCGGCATTTTTTTTTGAAATAAAAAGTGTGAAAATATATTAATAAGGTATCAATAGGGCACTGCCTATATACAAAAGATTTACAATTGTGTTAGTGTGTCAATGACATTCCCAAAATCCTCATCGCTACTAATATTCATGCTCTAAAAAAATCGACCTAAAATAGTAAAACCATCTACTTCTCAATCTAAAATTTTCTACTTTTTTATACTCAAAAACCCTACTATTCATCTCTTTCCAAATAACCCAGAAAATGGTCAAAGGAATCAGCTTTATAAAGCCTTTCTTTTTCAATAACCCTTACCAAGCCCAAATTTCCTCTTTAACCGACCACGCAATAACCCAATTGTTCCCAAGAGGCTATAAATCATACACCACAACACATAGGCAATTGGACACCTCAGGATATGGTTGCAAGATTCTTCAGCATTCTGGCACAAATAGCATCTGTTCACCCAAATCTGTCCCCTCTTCATCAACATGTCAATAGTTAATATGCACCGCTGGCTAGCTTCCCAAGCAGAAAAAAGAAATCCTAGGAGGTACTTTAGATTTCCAGATTTTGCGAACTGGGTCAATGACTTTGGCATTTTACATAGGAATCCTGTATTTTGGGATACAAGGTGATAAAGAATATGAACATACAATACAGGAGTGGAAGGGATACCTTAGCTAGTAAGAACTCTACTCATAGGAGCCCTTGGAAGGCCATTGCGCAACTTTATGACACTTTCGTCCCTCTTATGTGGCTAAAAGCGGATGATGGCTCTCATATTTTGTTTTGACAGATCTCTGGATTAAGGATCTCCCCATGCTCATATTTTCCCTCACTTTAATAGCTTTCTTCAACCCATATGTCTACATATTTCATGTCCTTAATCAGTTGGATTGGCAAACCTCTTGTATTTTCTTTTGCTTTAGAAAACCTTAGCGATCATGAATCTAAAGTTAAGAATTCCCTGCTAACATCCTCAAGCCTTATTATGCTTCCCCTCTTTCCAATATTAGAATTTCGTCCTTGGAGTCCTCTAATTCGCTCTCTTGCAAAACTCTCCCTTCACATCTCTCCAATATTTCCTCTAGCCTCAATGAATCCTTCGATAGTACTTCTAAAAGGCTAAAGTATTGGTTTGGACGCTCTTCGAAACAAACCCAAACTAAATATTTTGTGGCAAATCTATATGCTAATCATGCCTTTTCTCAGGGTGTCTGTATTATGCGTTTTCAAGGTGGTTCTACCAAATAATCAATGCTTTTGCATTTAGAAGTTGCTTGGAGGCTTTGGTCTAACCTTTTTAATTCCACTGGTTATTGTTGTGGTTCCTACTTCCGTTGAGTGTTTTGTCTAGTTTTCCCAAGGCGGGAAGGAGGATGATGTGATACGGAGAAGTGCTATTTGGTTAGTTTGCGGGTGTTGTGGTTAGAGCACAATGCTAGGATTTTCAAGTCTTTCCTTTGGAGCATAATGGCATTTTTTGCAACTTCATGTGCTCAAGCCCCACAATAATTTTACAGGCACACCTCTTTGGTTATCTTTCAAAAGGATGAGAATATGATTTTTTTTTTCTTTTTAGGAATTCTTGCCCTTCATGTTCGTCCTGTTATCTCCTCTCTCTAATAATATTTTCTTTTATTAAAAGAAAATATACACTCAAAAAAGATTAAGCATTAACCAACTGAAAGAATCCACCAATCAAGCTTCCCAACCACTGGCTCACAGTTTAGTCCATTTTGGACCTAAATCCCCCACTCCAACTCGGCATGACCCTCCAACAAACCCTCATACCAATCTGGGGTCAGTTGCCATGCCTGTGCCTTGGCATGGATGAGAAAAGCAAGGTTCAGTGTGGACTCATGGAAAGGACGTTTGGTGATGGGCTTTGAGCATGAGAAAAAGGATAGTACGTGCATGCAACAATTGTACCTCATACCCGATTTAATATGAGCTAAAAATTTTTTTAAAAAAAAAGGAAAATAAAAGTGAAATGTTGAACAAAATATGTCAAATTTACTTACAATTTATATAATAATTATCATCATCATCATCATCATTATTATTGCTACTATGATTATCATGCTTCGGAAAAAAGGGAAAAAAGAAAAAAATAAGAACAAAAAGAAAAAAAATAAAAATAAAACAGGAAAAAAAAAGAGAAAAGAAAGAAAAAGGAAAAAAAAGGTCTTTTCTGTTTTAAAGTTCTCGGAAAAAAATGGCTCAAAACCTGAATCTAGCCCAAACCCAAACACAGCCAAAACTCAAACCCATTCCAAATAAAACTCAGCCCTTCTTAGAATTTCAGCCCATCCATAACCTAAACCCAACCTGTTAAGCCCGCTTAACATTCATGGATTAGTGAAAATGATGAAACGATAGTGAAATTTAATCTTTGGTCAAAGATGATGCCTTGGGGAATCTTTGAGAAGAATGCTACGTGAAGGAGCAGGGATAAAGTAGGCCTCGGGGAATCCTTCCTCATGTGGTTTGTAAATATTATAGTTAGTATCCTTATTTATGAATTTTAGTTCAAAAAAAAGTATTCTAATTTATGAATGAGTCTCACAATCACACTTCACAATAGAAAAGTTATTAATAAACTGCACTTAAAACACATATCAATGAGTTTACTTCGCACCATAGAGTAGGCATCTAACATCTTCCTACCATGTATCCTAAATCTCTAATAATTTGATCAACACATGTTTTACGGTCTAATCTAACTTTCAATAGATCAACAACTACTTATTTTTTTAAACATTCTTAAAATCTTATTTTTCAGAGTTTTATCCTGTGTCACCATTGTAATGTTGTCATTTAGAGTATTAATCCACAGACAGATAGAGAGGCAAAATAACACAATGGTGAGTGGTAAAGCCTCTTGATGAAGATTTTTGTTTAGATAAAAATGATAAAGCATTAAATGGAACCAAAACGATGACATCCAATGTACAAAAGGATTGCATAAAATTATTAAACCAAAATATCTATAAGGTTCCACAAGTCCTCATGAAGGTAGGATGCCCTATCAACAAACTATTTGGATCTGAGCCAGAGGTGATTGATCTCTATTTTGCTTGCGAAACAGAAAACTCATCCACAAAATGTAGGTAACACCATCTTTCTTCCTGGATTAAGCAAGAATTTCTAGCCTTCATCACCATTCTACAGAAAAACCCCATAACCAAATGAAGAAAAGAGGTGCTAGGGATCTCCTTATCGTAATCCCCTGGAGGAATGAACAAATCAGTTGGCCAACCATTAATCATATGCACATAGGTGAGAGAAGATATACAACTTATAATTGACTCTCGTAGTTTCACTTTAAATCCCATTCTTCTTATCCTCCAAGAAAGACCATGCCAAGTGATCATAGTCTTTCTCAACATTCAAATTACATATCAAATTCCTTTTCCCTAATGACATAATGCACTACTTAATTTGGCTATCGATGCAGCATCCAAAATTTGGTGACCCTCCAAAAAGGCATATTGGCCTTCACCAACAACAGATACAACCAAACTTTTTAGCCCTAACATAAGCACCTTAGCAATTAGCTTATAGAGACTACTCACTAGGTTGATTTGTATAGCCTTTTATATTCTTAGCATTCTACACATTTGGAATAAGGACCAATAAGGTAGAGTTCAACCAATCAAAAAACTTTCCAAACCCAAAAAACTAATCAAAGGTCATAAAGATCTCTGTGAACAACATGCCAATTTTTTTGAAGAAACGGCCACAAAGAAACCATCTACTCAGGGGTTTTATAACATCCAAGATTAAAAATTAGTGAAAGAATTGGTATCAAAATTGGTGGAGGATAAGTAAGGGCTAACTTTGCCTACTTTAACGATTTTGGGTAAGTTTTGATATTCTTAGATATCACACCTTAAAAAATTGAAAGATAACATAAAAATAACTAGGAGTAGATTAAATATATACAGAGAGAAGTCTCATAATTTAGTCACTAAAGGCTTGACCTCAAAAGTGAGATTAAATAGGTGCTAACATGCCTAAACATAAAACCTTAGTCTAACTATAACTACTGAAGTCTAATAGGAAACCTATAACTTAAAATAATTAAAACTATAAGCAAAATCCTAAATCTACTAAAGACCTAATATTATCCATAATCTTGCAATAACTATACACTAGCTAGAAATATAATTTGATTATCTATTTAGAAGTTCTAATTCATATTCATTATGCATCATTCTCACCTGGTTGGAAGAAACTCCTACCGATCATTGGTGGTGATCTACTTGGGGCTACGTTGTGAATTTTTGCAGTTTCTTTTTTCCCAGATGGGTGGGCTGTTTGGATTAGATTTTCGATGAGTGAGAGTAAACATTTTCTGATTAGGGCATGGATTGTTTCTAGTTTCTTTTTCACTCAAATTATGGGGGTTTTAGATGTTTGAATGTACAAAAAAAATTATGGTTAAATTGCATACTTAGGGATTTGGGCTAAATTTAGAGATTATAAAATATAACCTAAAAAGAAGGATAGAAACTAGAAAAACATCTAAGGGCCATCATTTTGGTGAATTAGTATTAAGCAGCACATCTGCGGAAAATTCTTACGCACCATACTTAAAGTTTTGCTTGCATTACACAAGGTAGTCCGGAACCTCCATGATAATTTATTCATTAGAGGATTAATACCAGAAGTCAGATCTCATAAGCATTTATAATGCTCGATAAATGCATGATATAAGCATCAACATAGAAGTTCAGTTATTGAAAACTTATAAGTTAAAAGAATTTAAACTATAAATAAAATCATTAAGCTACTAAAGACCTAATACTATCCATACACCTGCAATAGGTTGTAGATTACGCAGAAATATAATTCCTAATCTATTTAGGAATAGTAGTTCACATCCATTCCCCATCACCAAGCTGCCACCACCATAAGCATCTCTCTCCCTCTCCTCATCCAATAGCCCACTCACACCGTCTTTTTTGTCAAGATTCCAAAACTCCTTTTCCAAGTATCTCATGACCACAGCCCCATTACCAGAAAAGCTGGTACTCTATTCACATTTGTCCTTGACATAACTTTCTAGCAATTCTTTAAATAGCATAGGTTGTACCACAGACACATCACCTTTAAACTCACACACCATTTCTACAATTTCCTTCATTCCACATGACCATGTCTTAGCAGATAATAATAATTGTACTCAGAATAGTTTCAATCCATTTGATTTCCAGGGGCATGATGCATTGTCTTGGAAGTAGAAAGGGATACTGGTTAAACAATAAGGAAACTGTACCGACATGCAATTGGAAAAGAAGATAACATCACCTTGAAGACAGAGGCCCAGTAATAATCATAACGACATCGAAATTGACTGCGTACTGAAGGAGAGAATACATTCTTTGCTTTGTAATTCAACAACCCAATTTCACATACTTTTGATGACCTCAGGTCCACAGCTGCAACAAAATGGAGGAAATGACACTTAAGTTCATACTTGATAATAAAAATTTAAATTACTTTACTGAAAACCATCATATAAAAAACAAAACAAAACAAAACAATTAATTCTCCAATTCAATCTCAATATATTACTCATAACATGGACTAAAGGATCCTTCACAGCTTTACCAGATCAAACTTCGATTTGGGTGCCGGGAAAATTGATTTTAAAACCCAGAAAATACAATTTCTGAAAACAACATCAAGAGAGCAAAATTTAAAAAAAAAAAAATGAACGAATACTTACAGCTGGATACTATCCTGCAGCGAGAGAGAAGAGAAATAGGAGCCGAAATTGATAATTCCCCAAAGAGAAGTGCTAAAAGACCAACTAGAAACGATAAAAAGAAAAAGCTGAAAATTGGTAAAAGGAGGAGTACGAAGATTCGCAACAGGACTAAGTGAAAACCCCTTTTGCCTCCCTCCACCAATAAGCCTTCATCCCCATCCATTGGAGAGAGGACAGAATCGTAAACCTACAATAAATCTTATGCTCTTCTGAAAACAGCCCGACCACCGGAACCATTTATCCGGTGATCAGGATGTGCATGACAATTCCTTTTCTTCTTTCTCACAGCTTTTCCCGGCTGGAACTTGGCAAAGAGGGAAAGATCAGAAAGATATTTGGAATTGGGAGAGCGAAGATCAAATGGGACTCACTTCAGACACAATCTGATTCTCACCCAAGTCAAGTTGACGAAGCATGTGTTTCTTTCTCAGCCCCACGAGCATCATAATTTATACGGACCTACACGCTCGAGCTCTGCTAACTGAGGGAGGCAGGGATGGATGGGGTAAGAAATTGTTTTGGGTAAATTTGTCTGAAATTATTTCCCGTAAATTTGTTTAAAGGTGTGATATTATGTTTTTAATAATAGTTTGGTGGATTTTAATTATAAAAATTGTGCTACATTTTATTAATTTGATAAATAATTTTTAATTGTGATAATGAAGTTTCTGATTTTTTTTAAAAAAAAATTTGATAAGTTTATCTATTAAAATAAATAATTTAGCTACATTTTCTTAATTTGGTAAATAATTTTTAATTGTGATAATGAAGTTTCTGATTTAAAAAAAAAAAAAATTGATAAATTTATCAATTAAAATAAATAATTTTTTAAAATTTATTGTCATTATATGAAAATTACATTACTAATTTTTCATAATATTTATACGAGTAAAATCAATATGATATATTTTAAAATTATGTATAATTTTAAATTATTAAATCAGTATCTGAAAATAATCTTCTCTCGCCCTCAAGACAGTAGATAAATTCTATTTAATTTGTGTAGGGACTAATTGTAAATATAATTTGTATCGCGTCATAATATTTTTGTTATGTAGGAAAAATATGTCAAAAGATCTATTTATTTTAAATAATAAGTAAATTAATATTTAATTTCAAAATGATTCCATAGATTTTACTTGTTTGTATTTTGTAGATATATTTATGTTAAGGTATAGAATTTCTTATATATATGTCTTCACAGTGTGCACCAACTATTAAGGTGTTTAAAAGTATAAATAATTTGAAATTATTTAATATCCTAAAGTCCTTAATGCATCACTATATCATTATCTTTTAGGAAATGATTTGTTTTTAGATTTTAGGGGTTCCTTTGTTTATGAGTTAACACACTCATGGTCAAGTCAAACATCCAGATAAATCACATTATTAGCTCTAACTTATGTGGTGGTTATCAAACAAAACATTAAGAGCAAAAAGAAAAAGTACACTAAAAACTACCAACATATTAGCATAATGTTTTCCTTCAATAGCTTTGTTAAAACAGAAATCAAATCATCAAATTTAACAAAACAAGATTAACATGTTAAACAAACATGCAATGTAACTAAAAAATTCAACATCATGAAAAAATTTTATGAAGATAGCAAAATTATAGTATAATCAACAGCATTTTAGGTCTATAATGACAATAAAAATGAAATAATAAAAAATTATTTAGAAAGCTAACTTTAAATATGATTACAAATGTACACACATATTTTTAGAGATTTTTAAAGAGTCATTAAAACTAATTTTGTCATTTTGTATTGATTATTCCTATCATCTTTGTAAACTTGTAAAATAATGATTTGTTACTCAAGGTTATAAATAAGAGACTTTCTTATTTCAGCATCATTGAACTGAGAAATTATCAAACATATATCTTTAAAAATTTTACTTGGTCAGAGCTATGATGGCTAGCAATGATGAAAATTCGACCATATCAGGCGAAAAAACAAATGGAAGAAACACAACAAGCAAGAATGCGATGTGAAGACCCTGAATATGTCAGGAAGTCCAATGGGAACCTACAACATGATTAAGTTGAACCATGACAACTTTTTTCTATGGAAAAATATAGTGCAACCAGTAATTAGAGGAAACAAACTTGAAGGCTACATTACTAGTGCAAAAACCTGCTTTCCTAGGTTCTCATGAGAGACTAGTCCAGGAACAAAAATTCAGGTCACCACAAACCCAGAGTTTGAAGAATGGTTTGCATAAGATCAAATGCTTTTAGATTGGATCTATAACATGATTGAGCTAACTGTTGTCTTAGAATTGATAGGGCATAAAACATCAACACACATTTGAAATTTCATCAATGAACTATTTTGAGTTAAAACAGAATCATATATTATCTTCTACAAACGAGAGTTTACAAAAATGTTAAAAGAAAGTTAAAAAATGGCATACTATCTTAAAGCTATGAAGAATCTAACAGGTAACCTTGTATTAGTAAGTCATTCCATCCCACTAGATGATTTGATTACATAAGTGTCAGTTGGACTTGCCTCACAGGAGTACAATCCATTGGTATGTCAAATTACTAAGAGATAAAGTATTAGTTAAATGGAGTTTCAATCAAAATTGTTGAGCTATGAGAGACAACTGAAGCAACTTAATGCTAGCATAACATTAATCAATCTTGGAAAACCTATTGCTAATTATGAAAGAAGTTCTAACGTCGCTAGCAAGAATCAAATCAGCTCTATGGAGGAAGGTCAATTAACAACAACGGAGGAGGAAGAGCCTTTAGAGGTAGAGGAAATAAATATAGAAAAAATAGACCATTGTGCTATCTATGTGGGAAAATGGTCATATTGTTGTTGTGTGTTTCTATAGATTTGACAAAAGTTATACAGGAGTTATAACAGACAACAACACTGGCATCAACATCCACATTCAATATTCCTTGCATCAACTTATAACATTGTTAATTCTCCTTGGTACATTGATGGTATTGTAAGTAGTCGTGCCACAAATGATGTTGGAAACTTCAAACAGAAGCAAGAATACATTGGTAAATTGTCTTTGGTAGTTGGAAATTGTGAGAAACTTGATACTCGTCATGTTAGTTTAGTAAAATTGCCTCTTAAAACTGGAAATTACTTGTTGCTAAATAACACATTACATGTGTAACACCCAACATTATTTTTATTTTTTTATAAATATAATTATTTATTTAATTTATTTATTTTAATTTAATAAAAAAAGGGATAAAAATTTGTTAAGGATTAAATTCAAAATAATTTAAGAAAAAAGAGGTGAAAATTTAGGTTCTACGAGTATTTTTGAAAGAAAAATCGGAAACCGATGTTCAAAACGCAATTTAAAAAAATTGCTCCATATCAAAAGCAGATGGTATAAATAACCCTATCCGCACCCAAACCCTAACCCTAGTCACCAGAACCCCTCGCCGAAGAAGACAACCCAACCGCCGGGGAGCCGATCGCTACCACCCCCCACCGCACCGGTACCTTTTCCGACCGCTAAAAAAAGTAAAAAAAAAAAATTTTACACGAAATTTAATTTTAAAGCCACCCATGGCCAAATCGAAGTGAAAGAACCAACCAATTGGCAGAAAAATACCACCGAAGCCCAGCGCCGCCGCCGCAGGGAATTTCACAAACCGCCTCCGATGAGGCCCTTCCCAATTCCATTTTATATAATTTTTTCACCGTTGTGATCACCGTTTTCCTCTCTACAGGTTGACCGAAGCGAAACACCCAACTGCAACGTGAGCCGAAAGAGCCGCCGCATCGAAGAGCTCCGCTGCAGGTGAGTTTCGATTTTTCGTATTTTTTTGGCCCACCGAGGTCCTTTAACGTGTGTGCTCGCATGAATCGATGTAAAATTGACTTAATTCAGCCGAAAATGGTCGACTGAGGTAGACCGCCGCCGTGTTGGATTTCTGAAATTGGCCAAGTAGGCCTTGGGACTTATTTTTGAGTTTATTTGGGACATTTGTAGGTACTATAAGTGCGTTTCAGTTCCTGAAGAAAAATTCAGAAAACCCAGGGACCGCCTGTAAGTGCAGTAAACCATTTAGCTTTTCGGCGTCAAATCAAGTAAGGACCCCTCACCCTATTTTCTTTCATAGATTTGAAGTTTGAATAAATAATAATACGATCTTTTGTACAAATTAAATAGATGTGCATAATTAATTACGAATTACTAATGGAGCCCGAATCGGATATTGTTCTCAGTTGATTTCTGTTGATTTATTTTACAGTGTAAAAGCATGATGGTATCTGGTTTATATATTTTATGGTTTAAATGCATGTATTTGATTTTGAGATTTAAGATATGATTGCATTACCGGATGCATGTTTATTTGTTTATGTGATTATATTTGATTTGATAACGGAGACTAAGAAAAAATAGGAAAGGGGTGTGATCTAATAAACGGATAAGATAACAGTCTCACTAGATATCTTGGAGATGGTGGACGGACCGGGTTTACAGGGAACCCTACCATGAACGTTTCCTCATACTGTATGGGGTATGGGACGGCCGCTTCACCCTCATACTGGACGGGGTATTGAGGTTTAATGTATTGGCTCTCATACCGGACAAGGTATGGAGACGACTCTGTAATTAAGATTGTTAAGGAAAAGGATTCACGTGTAGCAATAACACCCCTATGGATCCCCATGGATACTAGTAGGCTGGTAAAACGAGAAACTGTTATGATTTAGTTTATTGTTAATGAATGTAAATTTATGATATATTCTATATTGTTGATCGTACATGAAGTTATGATCTGTATGATATTATTGCTTTTATAATTTGTTTTCATAAATTCCCCGATGGTAAGTGAAGGGTAAATGATTTTATTTTTAATAAATATATTTGTTTAAATTTAGTGTTCTATTAGTTATTTTGATTTTCTACCAACCTTTACTTTTGTGCCGGTGATATAGTATAATGTCCTTACTGGGCTAGTGTAACTCATCCTTTATTTAACCATTTCAGATCAAGAGAACCTGGTTTTCGAGCCCAATCCTCAAGAAGATTGCGAGTAGATGCTAGATATTTTATATTTTCGTTTACTTTTCTCATTTGTCGTATTTCTTTCAGAGAATTCATTCCGTGATATTTGTTTAGTACTTTTAAGTTATTGTGTAAGGGATGTAAATCTTAACCTTTTATTTCGCTTCCGCATTTAAATTATTATATATTTTCTTTTGGATTTTCGGGGTCTTTACAGTTGGTATCAGAGCCGCGTTTCTCGGACCTGTCCCTTACACAATGATACTTAGAAAAACACCAAACTAATGAATTATCACTCAACATTTCCTTGTGAAATACAGGAACAGAGAGATGAGGAGAGGAAGACCCCCACTAAACCGAGCAACCTGGGATGGTTCGCTTAGGGAAGATGTTGACAGGATATTTGAGATGCTGGGGAGACTCAT